TTCTCGGAAACAAAGGTTCAAAAAACGTAATTTCTAATGTTCGCAATAATTTGAAATCTGGCAAGATGTCTAGAAAAGACCTATTGTGTAGAAAATGTGAAAAAAAAATGGATATCGAGAATTTGATCATAGGGGTACTTTAAAATTTCGCAAATTTCAGCTTCGATAATCTTATAAAACATAAACAGTATAGGCACTCTACGCTATACAAAAAGCAGTATCCACACCGGCTTTACTTCAAGAGTTGACGTCGACCGGTAAAGTTTTTTTTTCAGAGGTGGAGCTCATGAAACTTTGTGACCTTTCGCGGTATGTAAAAGCTCACCACAAACAGTTCCCTCGTTAGCTGCTTTGTCAAGAACAACAGTTATGAATAAAAACAATAACTTATCATTCACTGATGCACTGTAGTCCAAAGCTTTATAAGGTGGATATATTTTTATTACTGCATGACCTGCGGCCCTCATCAAGCAAAGAGCCCACAACACAATGTTGATGTTGATTCATCCAAAGTAAAGCCACTATTCCAGCATTGTTTTGTTTTGTTTGTTTTTGTTTTTGTTTTTTGTTGTTGTTGTTGTTTTTTGGGTGGAGGGGGCAAGAAGGAGCCCGGCAAATTAAATAATGACTTCCCACTTCAAAACAATGTGGCACCAGTTGGTATTTTGTCAAGTGTTCCAAGGAATTTTGGCCAAGATTGTATGTACATGTATAGCGATCATGACCTGAAATGTATCAAGACTAAGAGAGCGGATGGGGAACTTCAGCCTTTAGAACCCCGTAATAATTCAAGCACAGACATATTTTGAGTAGAAATTTTAATGGTTCAGTATCTCATATAGTGTGAACGTCACAGCGCACTTATATTTCAGTGACTCAACAATTGCGAGAAGACATGCACTAAACTTGATGACACATCGCGGCAACTTTTACTGATAAATTTATATTTAACGTTTGCATCGCTCGTTCGCGGCATCAAAGCGTCAACTGACTGAAGTGGCTGAACTAACAATAGCTATTTGGGCTAGCACGCAACCGTTTCTTCACTGAAACACAACGAAAAGACGTTCCAGTGCAGACAAATATACAAGCTCAAACCTTCAAAAGCAAGATTGTGGTATTGTTTTTTAATGCGACATTACTTTTGGGTTGTGCAGGAAAACGTTAGTTCAAAATGAAGCGTGCTCTTGGCATTATACTTGTGATGCATGTTTATCATTCTTTCTACACGGCATGAGAGGTCTGTATCATAGACACACGGTTAATGCAGTTTGCGACGAAATCAATGATATATTCAAAACAGAGAATATGGCAAAAGGCGGTTTCTTTGCAGGTAAAGTTTAATTAGGGCAAGGGGTTCGTCGATTAATTTAAGTTGGGCTCCTGTTGGAAAGGTCAGAGACCTGCAATAAGAAGGGAGAATTCGGTTAGAACAAAACAGTCATATTAAGCCTGAATACGCTTGGCAACGATTAGGGGCGCTTTTATTATGACTGGTTTCTACTTGGTGGCATACGTAGCTACTGACGTAATTCAAGTTAACTTTGCAATAACCGGCTTACCATCCGCTGATCATCACTTTTTCGTTTGAATTTTTTGTTGGCAGTGACGCTTATCATCATCAGAAGGGAACTGATTTGCAGTTTCCTCCAGGGAATAAACAGAAACAATTTATACATATTATGGTATATGTATTTCTTACTCACTTTATTTGGGTAGCGAAATGGACATAAGAAAACGTTAGTTTCTATAAGAAACAATTCAGCACTTCCGTGCGCTCTTCGTGTACAGGTTGTTTTTCTGTAGAGCTTTTTATCTCTCGATCAATACGACAACTCTTTATCAACTGATGCTAAAACTGAAGCTACAATATCGGTATCACACAAAGGCCCAATCACAGGTGAACAAATTACTCTCATCTTCACGACATAAGAGAGATACATAGTCTAAGAACTTGTAATATAAAAACGGGTGAATGATTCGCCGAGCTAAGACTAAGGGTGTTATCAACAGGTTGCATAGGCTCGCTGAAGGTATTACCGGGCAATTTTTAAATCATAGACACTTAAAGGTAAAATTAACAGTGTTTCTAACAGGTTACATCTTTACCACGGTAAACTATATATTATGCCATGGGGATGACCGCAACTTCTTCACTAATGCTTAGGCCTTGTGTGGTACCAATATTGTGACATTACGTGATAAGGTGTGGAAGTATATACGTATATGCTAAACCGTCCGAAAAAATATAACTACTGGCTGAAAATATCAGTCACTTTAAAAAGCTTTAAAAAGATGTACCATATACCTGATCACTGAATTGACTTGCTGCGGGCTGCATCAAGGGAGTCAGTTTGAGAGTTGAAACCGTTGACTTTAGGTGAGTACCATTTGGCTGTTTTACGTAGGAAAACAAATGTAATTGTTTACATGCATTCATCTAAACTAGATTCTTCGTTCAATTCAATATAAACTGCAAAATACATAATTATGAACTGACCTGTAAGTATTGCTCAACGATTGACCACCCTTAGCTAACCTTTGCAAGCTTTTAAAAATATATTATTCACGTGATTGGTTTTAATGCTGGTTAGCAAAAACTGTCTTGCCTCGGTGAGCAGGTCTTGTTGGGCATGATTGACTTGTATGGACTGTCTGGCAGGATTTCTAAAGCTATTTTTTCAGGCAAACATATTATGTGGCCGTAAGGCGAAGTTCCACTGTAATGCTAAAATTCAGTGGCGTTATCCGCGAGCAAAAAGAGAAGAAAAGAAATTACAACGACAGAGGAAGATTATACCTCTTTTCACTACACACACACAGCAGCTTCTTCCCAACTCCTCGGGGCTCGCTCTGCAACGAGAAATTAGTTTATCTTAAAATCAAACAGAAAACAATATAGGCCCTTTTTGTTTGTTTAATTAATCGATCGTTTGCTCATTTGTAGTGAAACTTGGTGGACACGCCGCCGTCATCGTCAAAGAGACGTTAAAATCTTGGTGGACAAACTGGTCCAAGCGGCTCCTTTAATAAAGCCGTTGCTGGTAAGCAGGAGAATGAGTTGATGACTGGGCAGGGGAAGGAGGTGTTGTAAGCCGAGAGGTCGAGCAGTATGGACAGGGCAGGGAAGGGACTGGAGACAGAGTTGGAAACTGAGGACGAAAATGAATTAAATGTGACTGACTTGGAGAATGAAGAGAAGAGTGAGAAAGAGAACAAGCTAGATCTAAATGAGTTGGAACATGAAGTGGATAATGAACAACTGGAGTACAAGCTTGACATTGATGAGTTATTCAAAGACGACGAGAGCGATGAGCAAGAGGAGCAAGCAAGATTTGGCCGAGTCGTCCGAACAAGATAACGAGAATGCTGAGCAGGAGAACAAGCTTGACTTGAATGCGTCATTCGAAGATGGCAAGACTGCTGAAAAGGAGGATGAACTGGAACCGACTGAGGTGAAGAATTAAGAGCGGAAGGTGTAGCAACTAACCGATGTGAATGTTTCTAAGGATATTGGAAGCTCTAGGACTGGCAAAAACCCAGCCGGCGCTACGACCGGCTTGCTTCACATTGTATGCGCATGTACCTTTTTCTATTACTGCTGTTGCTATGAAAACGAACTATATATCATTGCAAAGAGACTCTATAGAGAGGTTATTAAATGTGAAGACATCCTTAGTTTTGATAGCGAAACGCTCTCTTTCTGGTTTAGGTAGAACTGAACTAGCGCTAGCTCTCAAGCGCTACTCACACTCAGCTTTAATTTTCATCATGCAACTAAACCATTTTAACGAGTTAGTGAAGTTCACGTTTCAAGCAATAGCAGAACTTGTTTCAAGAAAGTGAATGGCGCCTAATGGCGTTAGTAAAAGGTGATTACAGTCAGCACTGTTAAAGTAGAAATGGCTCTGACAGCATAAAATGAAATCGTAATTCGTTTCATGCATTCGATGCTTCCGTTGTTGGGTTGGACGAGCAGCTAAACACCTCCTATATCCATTAGCACTTGGTAAACAAGGCTATAGTGCACTGAACACAAATATCTCCCACTTAGCGAAATCCTGCCAACTTCGTTAGACAATCATTTTCAGGCGAATGCCCGTACGAAATAACTTAACATAGAAACCTTTAGAAGAGTGCTTACCAATAACAAATTTACTATAGTTCGAACTGTAGAACATTTGCCAGTGAAGGCGGCGGAATCTTCATTGTTCAATCCTCACAAAAGCCACCCCCGCTATCATTATCCGCTTTTTGTTCGTGAACACAAATATCTTTTTTGTTTTTTACTATATGTAGTACGAGGAACAATTAGAAAAGGAAAGGAAATCGACGTGTCATTTGCCAAACTATCTTGCGTATAATAACAGGTGAAATATGTATCAAGCTTTTCGTAAACACACCAAGTAATTCAAGTTTATTATTCAGCTCATATTTCTTTGTAAGACTAAGGCTGTGAATTATTGTCCCGAAGCACAGCTTTTTAAAGCTCTGATTCCGTTTAGTTAACGCAGCCACGCGTTTAGGTAGGCAACAAATCAATAACTTTGAGGCGAAAAGAAACAACAACTCAAAATTTTGACCGCCATTCGGAATAAATGCCCAAATGGTGTTTTGACAGATATCCGTTGAAGGACGCCTTCAATTCAAACTTTCCGATTTCTTTTATCGCGTCATAAATTAGCGTGAGAACTCAAGAGTGGTGCGAAAAATGTCACGCGAGTACCTGTAGGGATCTGTTCAACTGTCATTTCAAACCTTAAAACATCCAACAATGCTCAATGCTTGATTTATGAACCCCCTACCTATCAAGCTAAGTATTTGTCAGTTTTAAAAGCGCGATCGAGCCTGCAGAGTTGGTAGACAGTTAACCCTTAAAATTTTGATTTTATAAATGCAATTTAATGTCTTATAAAAAAAAAAAAAGGATGGATCGATGGCGTTAATGATCCACAGCTTTACTGATCGCAGGGTAATAAAAAAAAAATACCAAACGAGAAAGAACAAGTCATTGAGTTGGAATTTTATTTATCCAAATTTGCCTTTGCTAATGGGGCAGAGCATACAAACATAAGAAACCCCTAAAAAAAGTATTAACGGTACGATGCAACACCACTTTTCTGCTCAATTTGCTTTCTGTTACTTAAATCGAGGGGGTTTTAGGCCTGCGACGGTTTCATTTTTGAGCGCAACTTTATTTTCAGGGTTGAACTACTTGTAAATCAATAATTTGTCTTTGCGCTGATATCCGCCCACTTCTGCAACAACGCTTACAGAACAAACTCGTAAACATCTCTTTCAGTAAATTCGAGAATCGTGAGCTGGATACGAAAAGAATCACAGGATTAATCGCTGCGCTTAAAGATGGAAAAACGTAGTAAAACAAACCTAAAAATAACTGACATGTATCTTTAGCAAACAGCGAAGGGAAGACCACTACAAGCACTATATAGACACAGAGTGGAGTCCAACAGAGGAAAAAGGCAACGACAATAGAGATGAAGACTTTCATGACAATCTGGTTCTGCTGCCTATTCTGAATTCTTATAGTGTTTTGCCGAGTTTGATCCATCGGTCTTCGTTGTTTTAAACATTTCATGATTTTGGAATAAAGTACAGTTATCAAAATAAATGGTATGAAGTAAAATACTAAGAACCCGACAGTATAGAATGTGGAGAGCTCCATCGTGTTCCACGAGGATGAAAATTTACAAAAGGTTTGACGACCTTCCTGCACGATCTTTGCAAACCAGACGTACGGAAAAAGAGTCGAAAGTGGAAAGATCCATGAGAATAACATTAAAACTGCTCGCAGGCGTCTTGTTATCCTTATAGACTGGAAGGGGAGTACAATAGCAACGAATCTGTCAAGGACGATCAGTTCGAGGCTAAGAATTGACACAGCCTGCGATACAGCCCTGGAATACAATCCCAGCTTGCACAGAATTGTAGCCATCGGATCGTCGATCACATGTTTCCTTGAAAGCATCCCATCCATGACGTACAGTGGCCAGTTGGTGAAAGCGGAGAGTAAATCAGAAACTGCCATATTGACGATGAAGTAGTTTGTGCTGGTTCTGATAGTGGTGTTTATGAGAAAGACTGCCGTCACTAGAATGTTGCCGACAAATGCGGAAACACTAACGAAGGAAATAACTGATGTGAGCGAAGTGGAAACGACATTAGAACAAGTTGATTGAACCTCAAAATCAACAATGCTGCAGTTGTTCATCTTTCTTTGTCCGATGGTTTTGTTTTTTTTTTAACTTTGTAAGACAACAGCCTACGTTGCCTTCACCATCTTGTATATTCACCGGAAGATATAATGGATATTCACCTGCCCGTCAGCGTTAATTTAATGCAAACTCCAACAGACGTTCTATGAATAACTTGGAAACATCAATTTGGCGTGCGTTTCACGTCATAGACGAAACCTGAACTATGTGAATGTAGCTAAATTAAGTTACACTAAGATAAAAAAGGATATATCAGGCTCCAGTACGGGAAGTATCGCCATAGATAAAAATAGAATTACTATATATTGGTTTAGAAATGCTAAACACTTTGATCACTTTTGAAGCAGTCTACCAAAGCAGTTTCCATACACGACAACAAAACTTAAGTCTCGTCGCAGCATTAGACTCTTACATCAGCAGGCAGTGTAAAATATTTCCGTCAAAGAAACCTTTTTCTTAAGAGAATGGAGGCTAATTTGCGCGTCTTCTGCGTCAGCTATAACATCGACATAGTGTAAGCTAATAATCTTCCTGTTTTTGCAATTGTTTGAAATCAATATTCCATAAGCGACAGCGAGTTACCTGCAGTGTTTTAAATTATAAATTTAACTCAAAACAAATGAGTAGTAGGTTAAAAATATAACTGCAATGGTTGTTTTCGAATAAAAATGAGTTATTAGCTACAATGAAATTTACAATTTACAAGACAATCCTGAAGATCGAAATTCCGCACATTTCGATGAAAATAACTTGTATATCAAATTTCAACCAAGGTACAGTAGAACCCCGGTAACTCGAACTCTGAAGGGAAACGAAAAACAGTTGGAGTTATCGGGGTCGATTGAATATCCAACTTTACATGTTAATAATTGATAGTTTACTGACAGTTTTCAGCACTGCTTCAGTATACAGTGACAGCTTAAGGCACCGCATCCGGTATCACTCATAACATTGGGAAATGACTGTCAAATATGTAAACGGTCGGTTGCACTAATTAAACTCAAATTGCTGTGGTGTTAGTTTTGAGTGTTTTTACCGATTAGACGACAAGAAAAGCTAATGGGATGTCATCCCTAGTGAGTTACATGAACGAGAATTCGAGTTATCGGGGTAAATTGTTATCAAGGGAAACGAAATTTAGTTCGAGATAGCGGGGGAGTTCGAGTTATCCGAGTTCGAGTTACCGGGGTTCTACTGTATTTACATGATGTTAGTCTGCCAAAGTTTAGGCAAAAATATTGCGCTTCAGGAGCCCAAAATTGTTGCAAAAGCGAGGCGTTCGTTTACCCCTGACTGAGCATTCATTCGAAGCCAATGGAAGAGTTCTTTGAGCCTCAAGAAGCAGACTGCAATTCCAAGAAGCGACCAAGGAACCCTTTCTGTTATCTCCTTTCTCAGCTTGACATGGACATTTTAGTCAGCTTCAGCACTCCAGGACAACTTACATGAGTATTGGAGATCGCCATCTGCTCTTGAGGCCATGTATCCGTTAAAAAGGGGATTCACAAAGGATTGAAATGGCTACCCTGGAAATTCAAAAAAAAAAATAATAAAAAATAAAAAATAAAAAACCTTTAAGTTAAATAAAAGTAACTGAAATCGTCACAGAATGTATCCGGCCGGAGTACAGAGGTACACCAACCGCACTGTAACGGCTGTTACCTAACCGTCATGGGAGCTGCTACACAAATTTACCAGAGATTGATTCGATGTTTCTAGAAGAAAATACTTAACTTACAGCGTTGCTGCCATAGCAACAAAGTGATAATGTCATTATATATGCGACTCAGTAACTTTCTTGACATCCTGATCGAAACTTTTACCTTGGTCTAATATATCTCAAAGGTTGCACTTGAGACAAAGTCAAGGCAATTATATTCTGGTAACACCTTCCAGCCCGGTCTAGGCTTCTTTCCAGTGACTGAGTAAGCTATATTTCGGCCAACATGCACATAACCAAGCTTTCGATTATTTTTCGCTTGTCGATTTCTTTGAGGGACAATATTATCGAGGACTTGAAACTAACTCAAGAAGACCTTGCCCTTCAGTAAAATCGACTAGAGAAAAATAATCGAAAGCTTGGTTATGTGCATTGGGGCCAAAATATAGCTTACTCAGACACTGGAAAGAGGGTGGTGAAGGGTATTTTCGTGACTCGTGATCGGCCCTTTTTTTCCCGTGAAATGTGAAATGGCTAATTTTTTCCTCGTGAATCGTGATTTCCATAGTCGCCGTGAACCGTGATTTTCCAAAACGTCCTCGTTTATTTTCCGTGAAGCGTGAAATACCAACGTATTTTTCGTGAATTGTGAAAGGGCTGCTTTATTTTCCGTGAAACGTGATCTATACCCCCAAGCNCCCCCCCCCTTACCACCCTCTGGAAAAAAGCATAGACCGGCCTGCCAAAACTTTGATTTTGACCTACCTACAATTGATTTTCAAGGACTTGGACTATATTTCCGAGTCCCAGGGACTTGAAACTAACTCGAGAAGACTTTGTCCTTCAGTGAAATCGACAAGCGAAAAATAATCGAAAGCTTGGTTAAGTTCGTACTGGCCGAAATATAGCCCCTGTTAAACTTACTTAGAAACTGTAAAGAAGCAGAGACCGGGCTTCTCAAACTTTAATTCCTCCTATTTAGGCTTGGTTTCCAAGAGCTTGGACGATATTTCAGAGTCCCAGGGACTTGAAACTAACTCGAAAAGACCTTGTCCTTCAGTTATGTCGAGAAGCGAAAAAGAATTGAAAGCTTCGTTATGTTCACGCTGGCCGAATGATATAGTCCCTGTCAACCTACTCAAATACTGGAAAGAAACAGAGACCGGGCTACGCAAAAACTTTTATTTCCGCCTACTTAGGCTTGATTTCCAAGAGCGTGGACAATATTTCCGAGTCCCAGGGACTTGAAAATAACTCGAGAAGACCTTGTCCTTCAGCGAAATCGACAGGCAAAAAAAAAAAAAAAAAAAAAAAATTGAAAGCTTGGTTGTGTGGTTTGTGGTCGAAATATAGCTTACGTCTCCCCCAGAGTAACAATCGCATTTGTCTCGTCAATTATCTACTGATGCTTAAGGTGACCGAGCTGACTCTACGTGGACAAAAGCTTTTCTTGTGCAGAAAAAAAAATATTCCAAGGTGCCTTTGTCCTGCCTCGAAGAAAGTTTATATATGGAAAGCAAATTAAACATAATATGTCCGTTGCAATGAAATTGTCACTCACATCAGTGATCTTAAAAAAATCTCTCCCTTTACATTTCACTACACCTCCGGGTCTATTAACGTACTAAGCTTTAGCTAACATAAATTTTGCAAGTTTATATTTACTTATCCTTTCAATAATGTTAATAAAATTACAGTTTTCCGACGTTTTGGTGTTTTTAAATAGTTTTTGCTTACATCATTATCAAGGTGAAAATGACAGTTTTATCGTGGTGTGAATACAAATTAGTGGAACTGGTATAGAGCGGTTTTCAGTTGAGTGTAGTACAACCAAAACCAAACCAATTACTTACCAATTAGACTGCTCAGCCAATCTCAAACCGTAGTAAAACCTAACCAAAACCAAAGTAATTGCCTGACTACTTTCGACACACAATTGAAAACCACTCTAATAGAAATTTACATGTGATCTCAATGAAATAATTTCGCGCGGATAGAGTCAGTTGCACGGTATAGTTGGGTTGAGATCTTGAATTAGTAACATTTCGTGGATGAGGCAATCGAATGTGCTCCTGTGCGTGTTAAACATGTGCCTTCTAATGGACGAATTCACGGTACTGTGTTCAGCAATACGATGATATAAGTGTCAGCTGGAATATTCAACATAGTCCATATCACATAGACCACATTTAAAGGAGCTCACGGTCACGGTTTGCGCATATTGAAAAGGTTAGCCTCAATTTTTCAAATTCGTCGTTTGTAATCCGTGTTAATCTTCTCCATCCTTAGCCATCCTTGTTCCTTTATGGTTCATCATTATCTCTTTGGCGTTTTTCTATCTTATTAAATTGTTATTTTCAGGTTCCTACCATTTAAAGGTAATTTTGTATGTGGCCAAAATAACTCAAAATACCGTGATTGAGCTCCTTTAAAATGGCATAAAACGCATTGTTCGTTGAGGGTTTGTATGGATTTTTTTTGTAAATTCCGTCGTATGGGACTGTCCTCACCTTCGATTGTCGATTCTCTGACAATGTTTTCCGCAATTAATTTTGCAGTCTAAAGTAATCGTCTACTCGCACCTGCTTTTTAACGCTTCTATCGAATTAGAGATATTCAATCGCTCATATTTTTCACCTTAAAAATTGCCACCGGAGAATGAATAAAACAACCAGAACACAGTCGGAGCTTTATTTCCCTGAACTAATTATATCGACCAATGCGTTCTGTGTATGTGGCTGGTAAAGATAACTGATGTAGTACTTGATGTACACATACACATATGTACGTGATGTGTACCCGGGGGGAGACTCGATACCCTAAAAGATACCATCGCAAAAGCTTCCGCTGTGGACCTTTTAAGGCTGAACATTCTAAGAGGTACCAAAACCGCTTTTTTAACCCCGTAAAGGAACGACGAGCACCTCCGTCATTTTAATGTGGGAGCCCTCTCCCCATCCCCCCCCCACCCCCCGGAATATGTGTACGTGATGTGTAATTAAAAATTGTGGTGCCATTAAGTACATCTTTTCTTTATCTCTTTTTCTTCTTTATTTATTCAAAGTAATGCCCAAAGATAAAATCAACTGAGAAGCAAGGTTGCTTACATCAAGTATTAAAAGCCAAACCCTTCCTGATCAATATCATGACTGCAATACGTACGTTTGCGGAAATCCCCCAATTGTAATTCCTCCTTTTAATTTCTAACTCGCGTCAGACATTGATAACTGTTGTTTGTACGGGGTAAAAGTTTGTATCAGTGGTTGGTTGCATGGAGTTTAAAGGTAAGCACTGGTATACACTCCAAAAGCTCTTACTAGGTGTAGTTTCACTGATTTTTCTAAGGTGGGCGATTTGTAGGCCTCTGTTCTATGCCTTCTAATAAATTGAAAGCACCCTTGTTGATATTCGTTGAAATTTCATTTCACTTCTCACTCTTAACTATAAATTTTCTCTCTTATCGAGTCTTCTGTAAATTCAAAGTAGAATTGTGATCATTTGCATCATTTGCTTTGGAAGAGACTTTCAAATTTGAATTTCAAAATGAATTTCAAAGCGAAATTTAATTTGTTAGTAAAATTCAATATGATTTAGTTGATAGAATATTAAACGAGAAACAGCTGTATTTGTTAATGAGAATTTTGATAATGAGAATTAAGGACTCCGAGATCACGCAGTACTGTTTACCAAGTGTCGATATGTGGACAGTAAGTATATTTTGGCTTGATATAAACACCTTTATATCAACCTGACCGACATCATATCTTGTACTTTCTAAAAGGTTTAAGATACCGAGCGAATGTTATCTCGCCATCGCCTCGAAATTCTAT